AGCTATACGTCCACGAGTCACCCCTGAAGCAGCCTCCACCCTTAACGAGATGCCCAATAAGTGACCCCGAACTTGACCCAAGCCAACTGATGACCGTCGTGACTAGCCGGTTGATGCATACAGGCCAATATGCACCTCCCGTTTACCTGAAGCACGGGACGAAGCAGTGTATTGGGGTACCAGGATGCCCCTCAACTGCCAGGACCCCCTTTTCCAGGGATCCTGGCAGGTCTCCACGCACGGCAAACACGCGGGTGGTCTCTTTCCATTTGGGTCTGATACAACAGGGTGGTAATCAAACACAGATGAAAAGCCCTTACTTGTAAATTCGGCAACCACGACAAGGGGGAAGAGAAAGGGAAAAGTAGGAGTAAAGGGAGAGGAAAGGGAAGGGAGGACGGATCACTAGGGAAGGGAGACTGTGTTTACCTAAAGAAGGTAAACCCCCTGAGGGGGCAACTGATGAGTGATGGAGAGACTGTCTATGACTTGCTGATGCGACATGATCTTCTGGACATGGTCTAGGGCTCTAGACCAAGGGGATAAGCAAGAACAACAACATAAGAGCGGACTTTATCTTAAATTACGAAATCAGATGCAAAAAAGTTTTTTCTATGAGTAACCATACTTTTTTTTTGAAGGATTCGGATTTATGACCCCCAAAATACACGGGGTAGTCACACTTTGGGAACTATGGTCCCAATAATTTGGTCAGGTGAGCTGTTCTTATTTTGGAGCCCTTAATGTAAATATTATTTTTTTCATGTTTTGTCATATCTCGAGAAATTTGTATGCCAATTAAAAAGTTTTCACACACTATTTTAAAATCTGTTTATCTAATTATAATTCCATGTAAAAGTAACTTCTAGCAAATATTCATTATTATTATTTTAATATTTTACTCATGAATGCTATAAAAATTTTTGAAACAACACAATTTTTGCATCATTTTAAAAAAATGTAATTTTTTACGGCAAATTACAAAATTTGAGCAAAATCGGTCGTACAGATCCTGCGAAATCGAAGCTTAAGTGTCTTGTATATGTGCTTTATTGTAACCGTGCTACATTTTTGATTTGTGTACCTGGCAACTTCAATGCATCATTAGTTTGTTTATCTTTTGCATGGCGGGATGCCTGTTCTTGTGTTAAGTAAGAAATATATAGTGAATGAATCTTTCTGTTAGATTATAGAATGTGCCATTTAAGGGAATTGATACTTGAAGGGCATGACTTATTCGAACTCGAATGGAAAAGAACACCTGTAAACATAAACAAATGCCGCGTTTTAACAACTAACGAGGATTAAGTAACCCACACTTCGTCACTTGTAGGTGTCCTATTAACCTCTTATTACTCGCAATTTAAAACATATTTAAAAAAAACGTATTTATCACAAAATCTTTAACTCATAAATAAATTAAAATCTTTAATTGCAAAAATAGTTTATTTTAAAAGTGTTTTAAGTTTTTTCTTGTTATTAAATAAAAAAAATAATATCGTTAAAAATGTGCAGTACGCTGACGTCGCAAATGACGTGTGGGTATCCATGATCTTCTTATTGAGTTGCAAATACCCAATTGCAAAAAAGAAAAATTTCGTCAAAAGGAAGAAATATTATTTATCTTTAATAATAATTAACGTTCCTTTCAATTAAAATTTAAAATATAAGGTTAAATATATTGCGAACTGTCAATTTTTGTAAACTTAGTAAAAGTTTTTTGAATTTAATCTTTTAATTATTTTTAAAGCTGAGTCTAAATAATTTCAATATTTTTCTCCACACAAAGTCAATTTTTGGGCATTGGTAAGTAAATTGTTAATTTGTGATTGTCAATTGCCTTTAAAATAAAATTTGGAAAAATAATAAAATGATATTTTTACTTAATTGAGATTTATTTTTAATTTCCCTTTTATTAGATCTCCAACGCATTTAATTTATAACATAATTTTTTTTGTTTTGGAAGAGCAACTTTCATAAGCTTTATATTATTAAAAGTAAATTTTATTTAAGTATTTCACTAAAAAAGAATAAATTGTGAAGTAAAAATTTTGTTCGTTCCTAAAAATACATGCGAAATAAATGCGAATTTATGCAAACTATCAAGCATTTATTTCTAAATAAACTTGTTAAAATAATTAAATATAAATTTTGATAACTTTATTTCTATCAATATATTTCACTTTTTCTTTTCTAAATGCAAATAGCTTTTAATAGTTTCAACCAAATAAGAATAAATTATGCTATGCATCGAGCACTCAACTGAAAAGTTGCCTGCATTTAAAACTCTTTCATTCTAAAATAATAATTTCATTAGATAATTTCACTTTTACATTTTTCATAAATTTAATTTCAAATATTTTATTTATATAAGGGTAAGATCAAAACATTAAGCTTAACACATCAAAGCATCTTTTAGTCTTACAAATTCATTCAAAACGCCAAGTAAGGAAACTTTTGACCGCGGACGAAGACGTAATGCTATATTGATACGGTCCCTTAAACAGATGATTTCTTTTTTCTATTTCTTTGAGCGAAAGTTGTGCAAGTCATAATTTTGGAGTTCTTTGTGTAAAGTGTAAATTTTTTTCAAAATGATTTCACAGACTCGTTTAAGAATAAATAAATGGAATTTTTATAAATTAAGTTTTATACATTAAAGCAACGTATACGAATATAACTTTTCTAAAAAATTATCACAACTCGTCACGTGATCAAAACTTTTGTTCATTAAAGCTAACATAATTTGAAAAAAAATTTCAACTGAAAGCATTTTCCTATAACCCTTAAATCAAGTAATATTTATATGCGCGATATTTATGACACATATATATTATATTCCTGTATCCCGTATTATAAACCTATATGCTCCATTGTGAGGCTAAATATCTCATACGGAACCTAAATAAATGGTTTAATTAAAAATATGCAAGTAGTCGCTTAATTCCAATGTAATTTTGAGAGAATATGACTCATAACTCTTATATAAAACTCGGTTTGGCGACATTTTTTTCAGATCTGGAATTCATGTCGGTAGCTTGGAGATATTTGGTGAATTTTTGGTGACAAAATTATAGTTCTGGAAAATTCCAGTTTCGAAACTATAGAACTTATAATTACGGAGTTGGACGAAAACTATATGGAATCATGTCAAAAATTTCGCTTAAATAAATATTAGTGTGCATTGTCAGAGTCTTGGTTATTAGTCCGCTTGTGACTACAATAGTGCTTTGATTTGCGAATTAAGGTCTGAGGTTTCTGGACTTGTTGTGTGCTACACTGATGTATAAGGGGTCACAGTACCCAAAAATTACCAAAGTATCTGAAAAAAATTTATTGTTTATAATAAAACTTAAAACTTTTTCAAATGCTCTGAAAAAATCATCCCTCTATCTACATTTTAAAACAAGTTATGAATGATTTAAGATTGTCTTAATACAGAAACTTGCACAGCTGACAGACTTGAGAGTGCCTTTTTTCATAGATGATTGTGGGGGAGGTTTGGTCCTCCGTCCTTAGCCGCCAATATTCGTATAGTGAAATTCATCTTAATTCATTATTGTTCGTACTGGCCGTTAACAATAGTAAATGGATGAAACAAAATGAAAGTCTCCAAAAAATTAAAATATGAATCGTGAATATGGAAATCCAATTTATTAAGCAATATTTCTTGGAGATTATAGAGAATGGCCATCAATAAAAATCATCATAATAATTACCAATTATCAAAAATAAATCCCTTGAAGGGATCAAGGAAATATAACTTCCACATCAAGAAGTTTTTGTTAGCATTTTGTTACGATTGCATATCTTTTATTTTTAAACCGTTAAGATGACTGGGACAGGAGCACCCCAAAGGGGACTCCTAGTCACCACAAATTTTGAATTCCAAGTGAATATAATTATTCCCAACGGACGTAGAAAGTATGGGTAGGAGATCCACAATTTGGCGATTTATCATAATATATCATAGCCAAAACAAAGCCAACCAGCATATCAATATGGGTTTAAAAGGACACCTTGGCGATCACGAGTCGCCAACAAATTTATAAGAATTATTACAACCACGCAACCGAAACATTTAGCCGTTGGAAATTTAGACTAAAAAGTTATAAATATAGATTTTTGTTTTCGATTAGAGGCGACAGTGAATTAATAAGTCTGCCTGGCAATGAAATAAAAAAATTTTCCGTTACATTGATCTAGAAGAGAAGAAATAAATATTTTATGTTCGTGTTCGTTTTAAAAGATTAATTAAAATTATTTAAAATAAATTTTAAAATTTATTTTAAATATATAATTCTATTAATAAAAAAAAGCTTAAGTTATTTTAAAAGGATAGAAAATAAATATGTAATGCCAATTGTGGCATCACAGATGATAATTTTGTGTTTTTATCTTAATTAAATCCCTAAGGAATTTTTTCTATTTAAGATAAAGTTTTGAAATAATCTTTTTTATCTTAAGTATAATACGCTTATTTAAACTGTGCGTGGAACAAGCATTTTATGAAGTATTACAATTTTTACAGCATGTTATATATACCAGACAGGAATTTTTAACCTTTTTTCTACATTTTTACAAAATAATCTAACAAAAATATTTTAATTGATATATCAACAAATGAATGCGCAAAGTTGTTAAGATGAATATTGTAAGCAATGAGAAAAAAAGAATTTTTGAAAATATGTTGAAATAATAGGGATTTAAAAATCCTTAAGGATTTAAAAAATTTTAATTTTTTCAACTTAAACATTTCAAAGAAATTAAACAGTTTAATTACTTTTTGAAGATAAATTATTGATTATAAGTTAAATGAGCATGTAAAGCTTCCACAAAATGAATGATTCTACCTTTATTTTAAAAATATTGTTGCAAAGGTACTGTGACCGCTGGAATTAAGTGCTAGAAATAGCTGTATTTTCTTAAAAATTCTGCTAATAAATTTTTGACGTTTTATGGAATGTTCCGTGTATGACAAGATTATATAGATAAAGTACCTGCTTTGCATGCTCCCCAGATCCAACAACCTGACCGAAGACCATCACTTGCTTCACCGTTCACTCCGTAAAAACAAGAGAAAATAATAAGCAGTAGCTTTAGTGGAATCATAGCAGAAGCAATTATGTCTTCAACATAAATCTGGATTGTGTTGCGAATGACAACCTTTTTAAATAGCAAGCGTAATTTAGGATTGCGTGTATAAAAGGAAATTAGATGGTTGTTTTGATCTATAATGTAGGAAAAAATAATTATTTAAATGAAATATTTTAAATAACCTTTTCAAATTTTCCTATTGCGGAAACAATGACTTTTTGAAATTAAAAGTTAAAAAATAGAACGAGTTTTTATTATGGCTTTCTGTTTCATTTGTTCAGCTTTCTCTAATTGTGACATACTACAATGTGAACAACATTCATAAGACAATATGCAAAAAAAGACTATGTATTTTTTGTATCTAGGTATAATGGTAACATTGTATATAGCGTGGCAGAAATTGCAAAATATTTTTTTCCTTATATAAGTTCTTTATTCAAAGTTTCTTTTTTATTTAGTAATTCAGCTTTTTTTTCTTTTATAATTTATCTATTTAAATTTATATAACAAGAGATAAGAGAGTTTAAGAGATTTCTGAAAGCATTACTTGAATCTCAGTAAACTTACGATCAATAAACTTGTGGCTTTTATTATCTAAAAATGAAGTAGTATGAAATTTTAATACTGAACAAAACTTCTTTTTCATATTTTGAGCCACTGAATTCGAATTTGTTACTTATTTTTAGGCCCAATCAGTTATTATCATTTTGTTTCTAAAAATTGTTTTATGGAGCATAACAGGTAAAACATTTTGCATCAACCGTGGGGCTCCGATCGCGTAACAGGAAAACGTGGGTGTCTTTTGTCCGAGAGGTGATAGGTTCAAACATCGCGTGGGCCAGAGCTTTATTTTTTAATTTTTTTTTTTAACTTTTGAATACACTTGTGAGTTTTACACTTAATTCGAGACATTTTAAGTAATTAATGTTAATTCAACTATTTAATGCACATAAAAATTATGTTTTTGATTCATATTTTAACTTTATTCATTGGGAATAGCAGATGGTAAACTTTAAATCTAGTTTAAAATTTTTTTGTGCTAGGTAGATAATGAGCAAACTTGAAATAATAAAAAGTATCACAATTTAAATACTAATTTAACATTTGCTTCAGTGCAAGTAATTTATTATTAGTTCAAATATTTGATGACTCTAAATAGCAATGCATTATTTAGCTACTTACTTTCTAATACGTTTTTCATATTTCCACGAAATAGCTCAGATGATGATACTTGTTTCTAAATATTGTGATTTAGGTTGAACTACAAGTGATGGTGGATAGTATTCATGTAAGTTTCTAAACGCGTACTGTTTAGTTCATAGTAAACAGAGTCAAAACTCATTTTAACGTTAATTTGAAAAGTGGCCTAAAACTTATCCATGTGAAAATTAGTTCATGTTATCAGTTATGCACTTACTTTCGGTTTTCTCTCTATTTTTTTTTTTTATTTCTGCAGAAGTTAAGAAAAAATACTGAAAAGTAACAAGCAGAATTAAACAGATTTATTGCAAAAATTAGAAAGGATTAGTGACAAAATACGGTAAATAACGGTAATAGCTTACTGTCTTATTTTTCTATTTGATACCTTTCCAAAAGTCTTTAAGCTTATCCGCCATATACAAAAAATGAAAAGAATTTTAATTTTGAATTAGAAAGGAACGGGCAGTTTTAATTATCTCGCAAGCATCCATCGCAGAAAAATAAACTAAAGTATTCGCTAGTGAAATTTGAGAAAAGTTTTATCAACATTGAACAAGGCATCAATATGGGTGTTCATTTCTCAGGAAAACTTGCTTCACACCCATGAGACACCCTTATGAGGTGAAAGAAAACTCAGTTCGTATTAGAGTACTAATAGTCTTATGTTGTTTCCTGTAAATCCCCCCCCTTCTTCTCAACAGATTCATTCAACTCTTTCTTTTGACTGCTGTGATGTTGCAATTATCAACACTAATAATAAAACATTCAAAATAGGTACTCCTATAGATATAGAACTGTAAATGATCAGTTTTCTTGGGTTAAATAAATTTTTTGTTCACAATAAAAGTAAAATTTTTTCCAGGAAAATAAAATTCAAGTTCAAATTAAAATACATTTCATGTCAAGCTCATGTTCATGTAAATGAGGTTCGTCCTTATGTCAATATAACATGGTAATGGAAATCAATTAAAAAATACATAAACAAAAAATTATCTGGCCTCCAGCTTCATGCTAATATCTGATAAAATAAAGAAGATCTTCTGTCTTCTCCTTGAATTTGAAATTAAAGGTTTCTATAGCTACAGTTGTAGTACAAATTCTACCAATTAGAGAAAAACTCTATTCTAAAAAAATAATTGTAATAAAATGCCAGCTCAAAACACTATATTTTGTCCCTAATAAAAATAACGACCATTTAAGATGAGCAAATACCTTACAGTAAAAAAATTAAATTGCTATAAAATATATTGTATTTTCAATTTTTAAAAAAGTAATTTCATTGGAATAATGGTAAGGGATTAATAAATTGCCTTAAATCTGTTCATTAAATTAGGACGACAATTACATTTTGATAAAAATACTTAAATCAGTAATGAATATAAATTATTATTAACAATAAGATTTTTCTATTTACTTGCTATGCAACTTAAATTAATCAGGAGTAATCAAAAACACTAGGTTTAATCTTCTTAAAGTAATTGATTTGAGAAATGATATCGGATTTATCGAATTTAGTTTTAACCGTATCGTTTTCAAAAAACGTTATAAATATCGTTATAAACAATTTTGCTTTATTAGTTAAAAAAAACACTTTTTTTTTAATTTCTAAAATTAAGATTAGGATTTATAATATTTTATAAAGCTTTGACGAAAGAAAACCTTTTTCAACGCATTCTACAATTTTTAAATCCTCATTGAATACTTTTTACGAAAAATATAAATTTAACGCAAATTTATTTTACGTATACAGAGCTTAATAGTTCAAAATTCCCCAGCAGCGCAATATAGCATAGCAACAAATTAAAAAAAGAATATATTTTTTCTCAAAGAAACATTTCTTCTTTTCTATCCAAATATTTTTAGTGTAAAACGGCAAAATAACAAAAAATGATAGAACACAGTTTAAAAACAAAGCTGCTTAAAATTCATAGAACTTCACTCGCACCATTGAACTTAAAATATTTTTATGCAGTTGCAAATGAATTTTTCAGACGTTTGACGACATATCATTATAGTATCTTTAAGAAATGTATTGAGTAAGAAGACTGCGAGGTTTTCTCTTCATTATACCACCTCTCAGTCAACATCTTTTCTGTTACTCTTTATGTTGAATGAGAAGAAATCAAATGGTACCAAAACACAGTTCAACTACCAGGATCCCCTTTTACAGGGATACGGGTCTCCACTCCCGGCGAACACCCATCCCTTACCGGTCAATTTAGCATCCTCGACATGGAGGAAAATTAAATAAATAAATATAATACAGATAAAGAAGTGGAACAAAATTAGTAAATATACATATGAACGCAACAGAAATAAAAGATAATCAAAAGTATGAAAACTCATAAATGTTCGTTCACTAGATGAATGCAAAAGTCAGTAATTCGAAACAGAACCGTCGCAAGAGAAAAACAGAAAAATGCTCAATTCCAGCTCGGGGCCCCGGTTGCACTGTGCCTGTCACACAATAGTGTGCCCCTGGGGGATCCAGAACTTTCTGAAAGCAATGCATCTGAATTGAGCAATTATTAAAGTTTCGTTAAAGAGAAAGCATGGTAATTGTTATATTGCATGAAAATTGTCAACATAGTTTTAAACTAACGTGCATGTGTATATATTGAGCTTGATCTCCTCTTCACTGAATATAGTTCGGCTTTACCCTGCCCCCCCTCCATTTAGGGGCATCCAGGGAATACTGTCGAAGGATCAGTTTAGGCCAGATCCTCCATTTTGTCTTCAAGAAGTCTTTTAAAAATCTCTTCAATTCCTTGGTTTAGTTTCTTTTGGTTCCAGTTTCTTTTAATGGAATCAACGTTGAAATTTCTCGGGATAAATTTAATTCTTAAATCATCAGAAACTGGACAGATAGTAAGTATGTGTTCGATATCTTCATAAGATTTACAAACTTTCCAGTTCGGGTCTTTCCCGAACAATTTTGACTGATAACTACCTTGGGCTTGGTTAGTTAAAAATTGATTGATGTAGAAGTTGGAGTGGATTTTTCGATTGCTGACTTATGGGATAAATTGGTAAGTGCGTCGGTCTTTCGTATCATCACTATCCCGTCTTTGCTGCCATGTTAAAAGGTTATTCTTCATAAGTTCTGTTCTTGTTGTCTGTTTTGATGGTATGTCATATAATAGATCTATTGTTGATTTTTGACAAACTAATTTGGCCTGTCTCAGCTTCCTCATTGCCCTCATATCTGACCTATCATCTTCATGGAATATGCAATGTACAACAAATAATTCAATAATGTTACTTTTCTTAAGAGTCAGCTGCTAATGCGTTTAATTTGTATCAATTACATTTATGGCGAGACACAGGAAACATTTTTAAGACTAAACTATTAGAATAAATTTACCCAGAATAAAAATCATTTGGTTTTTTCCTCAGTTACTCTTCAAGTTTTTGGCACGTTGTAAAATAAATAGTTTAAATGCCTTCGTAAGTAACTGTGATTTTCTTATATAAAATTGAAAAGAAATTCTCAGCACTCATTTACCAATTGTAAAATGAAAGCTTACTATTTAAACACTTGATTCTTTATTGAACTTGCTTAATGAAGTCTATGTAAAGGTTCTCAGTAAAATCTGTTGATAACATTAGACGTATTTGAAACAATCATAACAAGATTATAATATTATTTAAAACTTTTCTCTAAATGGATATTAGTTCTTAAATTTGTCAGTTGTAAATTTTAAGTTAAATGTATTTAACATATATTCCATTGCACATGAAAAGGAAGTTTAAATTTATTGCGTATCGTTTTGTAGCACTTATTCAACATTTCTATTTTATACTACTTGAAAAGATGAATAAACTTTAATTCTGTAAAATAATTCATGTATATAAAACTTCCTTAGAATT